GCTTTGTGGCTTGTGCCAGGTTGCTGCGTAATGAACAGGCAGGCACAAGATGAACACTGCAGCTGTGAATTCTCGGGCAAGTGGCATCCTGGAATCCTGCATGGCTATATATATATATAAATATATATGTTTGTTTCTAATGTTGCAAAATGTGGCATGGCTTTAGGACCAATGCAGCCAATCTGTCAATTTGGCGGCTTTCAACCACTCCCAGTATGACACAGTGGTCCTAGCCGAGTAATTAGTAATTGCTGTATCGGTGTGAAAAAGGTCACCAAAGAAAAATATCGCAGTCCGGCCTGAGCCAAGCTTTGTGCTTCCGGGACTGCTTTCTCAGCAGCAACCTGAAACGCAACAACCACAATAAGCCGTTTGACAACGAACACTGGTTATGAACATAACATTTCATCCGATATGCACAATCTAAGCGTAAACATCATAAACTCATTGTTACAAAACAAAGCCAAAACAACACATCAAAAACGGGCCTCTTTGCTTTCCGGTAGCTTCGGAAGACCACGCTGGATCCGCGGCAGCTTTGTTTTAGACTCGCCTTTGTACAGGAATGACAGAATTTTCGCAGCAGGTGGGATGCCCAAATGCAAAGAATGTTGCCAAAAATTAGACCTGGACTGCTGTTTCCAGTGGTGCTGGCGTTCTTTAGGCCAAGTAATGCAATACGGAACAGCGAAGGCGCTCCTTGGTTCGGCATGACCACCCTCGGCTCCAAACCTTTCCCCGAACAAACCACAACCCAAGCTTTGGTCTTCCCTAGTTGAAGCACTGGCCTGACGAAGATGTGAGACAATTGACACACAAATCGCACCAACCAAAGACGGCCAGAAAATAGGCCCTGCCTTCCACGTCCTCTTCTTCCGCTGAGGATTCCTCGAAGGACAGCTTCGGGCGGCTGCGCTTCATGGCGATCCATGGGCAAAGTGGAGATCTATCAAACCTGGTTGGCAAAATCACATAGCTGGTGGTCGAAGGCATGACATGCAGTTTCCGCTCTGAATTGACAGCTGCACGACAGGTATTTAAAATCAGATTCCACGGCCACAAACCAAATCCATGATCTACTACTCACAGCTAGTTGGTAGCCAAATGCTCACATGAAACTGTGAACATGCCCTACAGCAAATTGGCCATGAACGTCACTTTCGCACATCATTGGATAAGTCTGGTGGAGTGACAGGAGTACCGCTTAGGGACCTGCCCGGTTTCGACATGTCATAAGCAAATCATCCAAAGGCTGTCCACCACATAAGGAACTATGAAGCCATGATCCCTGATGCCTAATTAATTAATCATGATTGCAAATGTTGCCCTTGTTGTGCTGCCTTTCAGCTTTCTCATCATTTGAGCCTCCGAATCATTTGCTTTCCAATCCCACGTGGGTCTGAATTTTCACTCATGGGCTGGGGATGGGCATCAAGGGAATGACGACCCTTGCTCAATGCAGTGGCAACCACAATGTCGTTTAAGGAACTGATGCTTGCAATTCTTTCGTATCTCGCAGTTGTTTCGTTTCACCACACCTGATATCCAAACACACTGACTGCGAGAATTGTGAGATATGTGTCGCCCATCAATTGTCGCCATGCCGAGGTCACAGCAGCGCCGGGCACAGACCGCAAGCGCTCGGAGGACTTCAAACTATGCCGCAAGGGAACCTGCAACACGAGAAAAATGAGTCAGCCATACTCAGCCTCCCGGTGACTTCCTGAGTAGTACCTATACAGTAGTCAAGTCCATTCCCTGACCAAGACCTGTACTGCACTAACCGGGCAGTTACATCATAAATCATCATGATATGAATATGGCACAAGTTCTCGGATTGCTGCTATATCATATCTGCTATCGTGAATCATTCCTTAATCTACAAGTCTCTTGTTCTTGAAGCTGCTGGCAACCTTCACCTCAGCCTGCAAAGCCCCAAGGAGTACCTCTCATCCCTCCCTACAGTTCTCCACCTGAACACCGCTTAGTGCGAGTGCGTGTTCTTTGAAGATTGGAAAACCAAAGCCGTCCACATCATGGACCATTTTGACAAAAAGCAAGAACACGGAACTTTATATAACTTTATAGTAGGAAAATGTAAGGAGATTTGCAAGACAACGGGAGAATCTCCTTTTCCGAGGTCATGTTTCCACAATGTCTGCGACTACCTGAGGCCTGGGCAAAATGAGTATCCCTCGTGAACATTTGTGTGGCAGCCCTGCCACCAGGTGTATTGCAGCTGTGCCGATAGCAACACCCAAAAATTATGCAATGCAACAAGTTCAAGGCTCATGTGATCGTGCAAGTGACGCACAAAAAAACTCAGATCCTACACTCGAGGATCCTACATTAGACTCGCCATTATGTCAATTAGATTGCACTTAATAAAGCCAAAAAAGGTGTCAAATGGCAAGGAGAACCACCTAATTATGTAATTCCACTAGTTCCACCAGTGTTTGGATCGGAGTGACCGACCAAAGGTCTTTGTGCTGTTGGATCAGCTTGAACTGAGCAGTCTCTCGGCTGTGACTCTCGTCTCGGCCTCATTGGAGTCTCGTCTCGCTGCATCGCATTTTCACGCCGCCTGCGACCCACCCACGACCAATGGCACATCAAAATGATTGCCTCCACTGAATCGGACAAAGTTAACTGTCCTACCCTGTTGCTTTGATAAGGTGTAAATAACAATGTGTATCAGTGTATCAATCACTATTGCCAGCTGTCAATCTTCGTTCGTGTGCTAGTCCTCCCGCCTTGGCCCGGACATGAGCAAGGATTTCCGCCCACCTCCACAGCAGGCACAAGCACTCTGCACGCGCCGCACGTCCAAGTAGCACATGAGACTGCGGTGCAAACCATCAGGGAGACAGCACTCCAACAGCACCTGCCAACTGCGCGTGCAAGTACTCCAACGATGCATCCTGTCCAAGCAAAGCAGTCAAGAATTAAACCGAAGCAAGGGCACGTGGCTTCTGCCATCTGCCTATATCCTGGCAAGCTTTCTCAGTCTTTGTTGTCTTCATGTATTAATCATACGTCCACTTTCACCGTGCTGTACCTGCGATCCTTCCTCAATCTGACAGCGCACAATGGACCTCAATATTCCGGCAACTCGGCTCCTTGACGAGCGTTGGCTGTGGCCTCCAGCAGTTGAGCAGAGCTTTATTTAAGGGAGTTGTAAAAAATACAAGTAGTTCCCGGGCAAGCCGGCGGCGGAAGTTTCCAAAAGAGTAAGCCTATAGGAAATGGGCATGTGCAGGCTGATTCGCCGAGCTGCGATGTTCTTTGACAAAACAAGTTGGAACCGACCAATGGAGCGAAAGCGAAGCATTTTGCAAAATACAGAATAGAGATGACTCAGCCGCGTACTAAAGTTGTACTACAAAGTCGCCAGTTCTCAGCTTCCAGCTCCACGGCTTGCTCCGCGTACTAGAGTTGTACTACAAAGTCGCCAGTTCTCAGCTTCCAGCTCCACAGATTGCTCCGTGCACTAAAGTTGTACTAGAAAATCCGCAGTTCTCATCTTCCAGCTCCCCAGATACTCCGCGTACTAAAGTTGTACTACAAAGTCGCCAGTTCTCAACTTCCAGCTCCACAGATTGCTCCGCGTACTAAAGTTGTACTACAAAGTCGCCAGTTATCAGCTTCCAGCTCCCCAGATTGCTCCGCGTACTAAAGTTGTACTAC